CAGATACACAGCCGAATTCTACAAGACCTTTAAAGAATAACTAACACCAATGCTCTCCAATTTATTTCAGAAAATAGAAAAAGAGGCAGAACTTCCAAACTCATTCTGTGAGGCCAATATCACTCTTATTCCAAAACCTGACAAAGTCACATCAAAAAACGAAAATTTCAGACCAATATCTCTAATGAACATAGATACAAAAATTCACAATAAAATTCGGGTAAATGAAAAACAAAAACATATCTTGGAAAAAAATAAATCAAATTGATAAATCTTTTGGCATGCTAATGAAGAAAATGAGAGAAAATACAAATAACTAAAATTTGTGATGAAACGCTATTTTGATGAACACTATTGAAATACACGATAATCAGAAAACTACCCTTAACATCTATGCTAAAATAAAAAAAAATCATAAACACGTGCACAAATTTCTAGACACATATGACTTAACAAAATTGAACAAGAGGACATAGAAAATTTGAAGAAATCAATTTTAAGCAATGAACTTGAAGACACCATCCAAAGCCTACCAACAAAGAAAAGCCCAGAACTAAATGGATTCTCAGGCAAGATTTCCACACCTCAAAGAATAACATCAACCTCCTCAAATTATTTCATGAAATACAAAGGAAAGAACCTTTCAAACAAATTCTTTAAAGATAGAATCACTCTGATAACCAAACCAGAAAAAGTATATCATATATACACAATTTCAGACCACTATCCCTGATGAACATAGAAGCACAAATTCTTCATTATAAACCTGTCAAATACATACAAAAAGCATATTTAAAAGATAGTACACAATGAGACATTGTTTATCCCAGGGATGTAAGTTTGGTCCAACCTCTGGAAATCACTAATTAACTTTTCACCTCAATAGACTTAAAGACAAGAATAACATAATTATCTCAATAATTGAAGAAAAGGCATTGGAAAAAAATCAGCATCCATTCATGTTCAAAAGCAGTACAAAGACTAGGGATAGTAAGACCATATCTCAGCATTATAAAAGCAATATATTCTAAACCCAAGACTAACATCATTCTAAATGAAGAAAAACTGAAAGTGTTGCTTCTAAAACCTGAAACAAGCCAGGTATGCCCTCTTTCACCAACTTTATTCAACATATTCCTTGAAACCCTAGCCAGAGCAATTAGAAAAAAAAAATTATAGGGATATGACAAAGAAAAAAAGACTCAACCTGTCCCTATTTGCTGATGGCATGATTGTATATTTAGAAGACCCAAAAAAACTCCACAATAAATATTTTGGAATTCAAAAAATTAACAAAGTAGCAGGATATAAAGTAAACATGCATAAATCAATTACATTTCCACACACCAATGATGATTCAGCTGAAAGAGAAATTGGGAAAATTATTCCATTTACAATATCCTAAAAAATAAAATGAAATGTTTACAAATAAATTTAGCCAAAGAGGTGAAAGATGTCTACAAAGCAAATTACAGGACACTAAAGAATAAAAATCGAAGATCTTAAAATATGTAAAAAACCTCCCATGGTCTTGGATGGGCAGAATTAATATTGTCAAAATGGCCATACTATCAAAACAGCTTTAAAAATTTTAAGGCATTTCCTATCAAAATTGCAATTATGTTCTTTTCTATGAAGAAAAGAATGTAGAAAAAAGCAGTCATTGTATTCACTTGAAGAAATAAGGGGCCTAGAATAGCCAGGGCAATTCTCAGTGAGAAAACTGAAGCATGAGGCATCACAATACCAGACTGCAAATTATTCTAGAAAGCCACAGTAACAAAAATGGCATGGTATTGACACCAAAACAGACATGAATACTGATGGTACAGAATAGAACATGCAGGACAAACTCACATAAGTATGGTTATCTCATAGTATCCAAAGGCACCCTAAACATACATTGAACAAAAGAAAGCATCTTCAACAAATGTTGCTGGGAAAACTGAAAATCTATATGCAGCAAAATGAAACTAAACCCCTGTATTTCACCCTGCACAAAACTCAACTCAAAGTGAATCATGGACCTTGACATTAGAACAGAGATCCTGTGCCTACTAGAAAACAATTAGGCCCAACTCTTCATCATGTCAGGTGAGGAATCAAATTTCTCAACATTGGACTCCTAAAGCACAAGAAGTAAAATCAATCAAGAGTCAATAAATGCCTCTGACTTCAATGCCCAGTATCTCCCCCCCCAAAAAAAAAACATTTGGCACATATACACAATGGAATATTACTCAGTCACACTCAAAATCTTCTTCACAGCATAGGAAAAAAGAACATGAAGAGAGAACATAGACAATCAGAGAAAATCTTTGCCATCTATACGTCAGATAGAGCATTAATCTCCAGGATATATAAAGAACTAAAAAAAGTAACAAAAAATAAATAAATAATAAAAATAAATAAACCAAACAATAAGTGGATAAATTAACTGAACAGACACATCACAAAAGAAAAAATGTGATCAGGTAACAAATGTATGAAAAAATGTTCCACATCTCCAGCAATTAGAGAAATACAAATTAAAACTACACTGAGATTTCACTTCACTCCAGTCAGAATGGCAATAATCAAGAATACAATAACATTAAATATTGGTGAGGATGTTTGGAAAAACGTACACTCATACACTGCTAGTGGGACAGCAAATGGGTACAAACACTCTGGAAAGCAATGTAGAGATTCTTTAGAAAACTTGAAATTGAAACACTATTTGACCCAGTTATCCCACTCCTTGGCATATACTCAACAGACTTGCTTTCAGCATACTATGGTGATGCAGCCACATTAATATTTATAGCAGCTTACTTCACAATAGCTAAGCTATAAAGGCAACATAGATGCCCCTCAATGATGAATGGATAAAGAACACATAGTACAATTTTGGTATAGTGGTGGAAACCTATAATCCCAGCAGCTTGGAAGGCTGAGGCAGGAGGATCACAACTCCAAAGCCAGCCTCAGCAAAATTGAGGTGCTAAGCAACTCAGTGAGACCCTGTCTCTAAATAAAATACAAAATAGGGCTGGGAATGTGTTTCAGTGGTCAAGTGCCCCTGACGTCAATGCCCAATATACCCCCCAAAAAAGAAGAAAAAATGTGGTACATATACACAATGGAATATTATTCAGTCATAAAGTAGAATGAAGTATGGTATTTAGTGGTACATGGATGGAATTGGAGAGTATCATGCCAAGTGAAATAAGCCAATACAAAAAAAAAAAAGCTGAATACTCTCTCCGATATGTGGATACTAACACAAAATAGGTAGGTGGAAGTTCACTGGATTGGACAGAGGAAAGTGGGTAGAAAGGATGAAGCATAGGAATGAGAAAGATGGTAGAATGAATCAGACAAAACTTTCCTATGTTCATATATGAATACACAACCAGTGTAACTCCTCATCATGAACAATTACAAAAATAAGATGTTAAACATTATATATGTATGATACATAAAATGTGTTATACTGTCATGTATAACTAAAAAGAACAAACAAAGGGAATTATAGAGAATCATACATGTGTTTATGTAAAAAAATAAAAATAAAAGTATGTCATTAGTTATGGCAGAAATGGTCTCTGGATATAAAGAAGTAATTCAGGCAAATTTACTTTCAGTGTTCCCATTTTCTCTTCCACCTGTTGTAACACAGCACAACAGCATCCATAGATGCCAGTGTTATGCTGATGGGCTTCCCAGTCTCTAGAATCATGAAATATATAAACTTATACTGTTCAAAATTTATACATCCTGTGGTATTGTCATTGGAATTCTAAAATAATTAATACCTGACCTCTAGCCTGGCATGGTGGTACATGCATGTAATCCCTGTGACTTGGGAGTCACCGGTATCCAAAAAATTACCTCTAGAAATTAGGAGTAAACATTAGCACTATTTAAAGGTGGATAGAAATTTTGTAGTATGTAAGCAGGTCTGACTTCCATTAGAGCAGAAAGAACAAGTGTCTGGAGGACTTAATAGTTTGGGGGCACTAAGAAAATATTATTTTATAACCAGAAGCAATATCAATATAATCCAGGATGGATTATATTTTCCTCTATTCTGATGAGTCATAAAATATATTTTAATTTACATGTTATCTACAAAAAGGATCTCTGAACAAAGAAGCATGCAGAGACCACAAAGATCATGATGTGCCCTCAGTGGGATGAAGTGCAATTCAACTCATCATGGAAGACACTCAAAAGCAGTATTACAGGGTGGAAGAATACATTAAGAAAGGAAAACCTACTGTATAATTCCATTCATAAAATGTTTTAAAAGTATAGACTGAGCATAAATACCACAGAGAGCAATTCACTGGTTGCCTGTAAGGTGGTATGAGAACAGTTTGAGAAAGTATTCCCACAAGGCACAGGAGGCTTGTGCGGTGTGGTGAGTTTCTTGACCTTATGTGTGCATGTTCTCAAATGTGTGAACATATCTCAATATTTGTACAAAATTTCACTTCTGGGTAGTTCATTGTCTGCAAAATATTCCACAATAATAAAATGTATATAAAAATAGGCTACAACCAGAGTAACTAGAGTACATAATGAGAACTAAGGAGAGGATCACACAGTTCTGGATCTCCTGGAAATAGGGAAGAATGGATGGAGAAACCACAGAAGAAGATATAAATTCTTCCCAGATCAGAATTAAGCAGGTGAACATAAATATTTCAGGCTACCATCATCTTTATCTACAACACATGTAATTCCCCATCAGATGTCAAAACAGATAATCAGGTTTGCACTGGCTGCCTCATCACCTAAACTTCAGGGAAAGGAGACCACAGCATTCGGAATGTTCAGCATCTCAAGCTAAAGAGGAGCAATGATTTATATTTATATGGAGACATTTTCCTAGGAACATGCTGCTGTGGATGATTCTAAGGACAGAGTACAAGAGGCTCCTCACTCAAAAAAAGTGATTCAGGAAATTCAGCTGGGCTTATACTACTGGTAGCAGAAAAAGCCAAAAAACAAGCCTGAGCAAAGCTTCTTGGTATTTGCTCTCCTGACAGATGGTAAAGGGTTATTTTTTCTTACTTCCCCATGAGTCTGGAGCACTGTGCGAGCATCAAGGCTACGGTCATAAGACTGACAGTAATAGTCAGCCTCATCCTCAGGCTGAAGCCCAGTGATGATCAGTGAAGCAGAGTTGCCAGACTTGGAGCCAGAGAAGCGATCAGAGACCCCTGAGGGTCGATTACTATCACCATAGATGAGGAGTTTAGGGGCTGTTTGGGGGAACTGCTGATACCAGTTTACAATATAGGTACCAATATTGGTGCTGCTTCCAGTGCAGGAGATGGTGATTGTCTGTCCTGGAGTCCCAGACAGTGAGGGCTGCTGCGTTAGTACAGACTGGGCCCAGGACCCTGAAAGAAAGAGAGACACAGAGAGAGTGATTTTTGTCTAGAAAATAGAGTAGAATCAGGATCCATATCAGAGGACCCCCAAAACATATTCCTCCTCCATATCATGTCACCTGTACACTGAACAAGGAATGTGAAGAGGAGACAGGACCAGGTCATGGTGAAGGTCATCCTGAGCTCTATCTTCAGTTCACGATGCTGAGGAGAGTTTCCCCCAAGTCTCTCCCTTGCCTTCTTAATACACTGAGAAGGGGAGAGTCTATCTATGCAAATTTGTGTCATCCAGGTTTTCTAATTGCACCCTGGGCCCTGGTTAACATAATGTATATAAAGATGCCAAGTGGGTGTGCAGGGGTGGAGTTGGGTTGGCTCAGGGAAATGAAAGGTCACAGCTGTGAGCCCTAACAAGAGAACGTCAGGCAGAGCCAGGTGGCTTATTATAGTTCTGGTTACTTCCCAACCCCTCTTAATGGGTCTTCAGTGCCCCCTATTGTCCAAGCCCATACACCTCATCATGTGACATTCTATCAGAAGTCCTGAGACAGTCTTGCATCCCCACTGAATATGCAGGCGAGTGAGCCCTTCTGTGGCCTCCCATTACCACAGGGTGGCCATTTTGCTTTCCTCAGATCCTCATGGAGAATTTATGCATAGTTCACTTGACACTTCACTGTACAGGATTAAGATGCTGTCTTCTATATAAATTCTTCCCAGATCAGGATTAAGCAGGTGAACATAAATGTTTCAGGGTACTATCATCTTTATCTACAACACAAAAGCTTTGTTTTGGGGTCTGTTGTGAAAACTTATGGGTTGCCATTTAGAAGGTACTTGTGTGCATGTTTTCAAGCTTTCTCATTTCACATGTTTGTAACCCTTATTGCCAGTTAACTTATTGAAAGTGACTGAGGATTGTGACTATCAGCTATGCACAGCCATTTAGCTTCAGCCACCATTGGCTACATGCAATGTCACAGGGACTGTAGACATTGAAAGGACTAAAATTGCAGGACTTGTGAATGTTTTTAATCATGGATGAAAATGTCCTGTCTCCTAGCCAGTGACAAGGATGCAGGTGGTCTGGGCATGAATATCAGCCTTTTCTTCATATTTTTTCAATATGATTCAGTGTATTTCACAAGGGTGAAAAAATTCCAACTGAGGAATGTTTTTAAAATGTTCCATTTCCATTTTTAATTTTTACTCATTTATTTTTATTTTTATTATTATTTGATCTTACTACTTATAGATGAGACTAGAATGTATTTTGACATATTATACATACATGGAGTTTAACTTTCAATTTTTTTAGTTGTACATAGTTTATAATTACATTGGTCATGTGTTCATATATGAATATAGAAAAGTAATGTCTGATTCATTCTACTATCTTTCCTATTCCCAATCCCCCTCCCTTCCCTTCATTATCCTTTTCAACCCAAAGTACTTTTATTCTTCCTTACATGTCTGACCTTATTGTGAGTTAACATGCACATATCAGAGAGAACATTCACCCTTTGTTTTGTGGAGATTGGCTTATTTCACACAGCATTGTAGTCTTCAGTTCCATCTATTTACCAGCAAATGCCACAATTTTCTTTCTATTTATGTCTAAAAATATTCCATTGTTTATATATACCACATTTTCTTTATAAATTTATCTATTTAAGGGCACCTAGGCTTTTCTCATAGTTTAGATATTGTGAATTAAGCTACTGTAAACATTGATGTGACTGTCTCAGTATAGTGTGCTTATTTTATGTCCTTTTTGTATAAACTTAGGAGTGGGATAGCTTAATCAAATGGTGGTTCCATTGCAAGCTTTCTAAAGAATCTCCATATGGCTTTCCAGGGTGGTTGCACCCTTTAGCATTTCCACCGGCAATGTATGAGTGTACCTTTATCAAATTTATTGTTGCTTGTATTCTTGATAATAGCTATGGTGATTGGAGTGAAATGCAATCTCAGTGCAGTTTTAATTTGAATTTCTCTAACTTCTAGAGATGTTGAATATTTTTTCACAATTTTGATTGTTCTAGATCCCAAGATAGATAACATGTGCCATTCTGGGGCCTAGCTTTCATACTTAAGAATGTAACTCAACTCATGGTAGATTGGTACTGTTCAATTCCAGCAATATTTAAATATAGACTGAAGTAAAAATCAAGCAGCTATTTTTATTTCACTGAGAAGAGAAATTATGAACATTCTGAAATCAAATATTTTTTCATATTTATGAAAGTGGTAGTATAGAGATTAGAAAATACAGTATTTTAAAATGAATTACCTTTAAAATTACATTTTAAAATAAATTATACATGGAATATGAACATTAGCAAGTTATTCAAATTTATAAAATTTTAATATATTAAATACCAATCATTATTCCTCTTTTCTTCTTCTTTCTTTCCTCTGAAAGGAACAATTATAGGTCAACTTGAGTTTTTTGTAGCTTTAATCAAACATTGTGTTTATCTAAAATTTATTTTTCCACCTTCACATGGTTCTCTCAACTGCAATGAATGTTAATATCCTGCAAATTTTTCCAGCTTCACTTTCCCTTCAGTTAACAAAAGAGCAAGACCAAAAGATCTTTCTACTCCACTGAAGATTTAAATGTTTAATTCTCCTCTTCTTCATGAGTGTACCTATATCAACCAGCACATATAAAATTTTCTTTTGATTATCTTCCATAATTTTATCTTCAAATATGAACCCAGAACATTTGAACTCTTTACACCAAGCACCATGAAAATAATTATATAAAATGACCAAAGTTTCCAAAAGAAAATTGCAGATAGAAAGTAAGCACATTATGGTGCAACTGAAAACAGATCCAATCACTCTAAAAAGCAGTATAAATATTTCTTAGAAATCTTAAAATGGAACCATAATTTGATCCAGTTACCCCCACTTTTCAGCATATACCCAAAGGACTTAAAATCAGAATACTACAATGACTCAGCCACATCGATGATTATAGAAGCTCAATTCACAATACCCAAGTTATGAAACCAACTCGGGCACCTTTCAACAGATGAATCAAAAGAAAATGTGGTATATATACACAATGGAATATTACTCAACCATAAAGAGATATAAAATTATGGCATTCTCTTGTAGATTGATGCAACTGAAGACTATCAAGCTAAGTTATATAAGCCAGTCCCAAAAAACCAAAGGCCAAATGTTCTTTGTGATGTGTGGATAAACCCATAGCAACTGAAAGTAGGGAGAAGAAATGAAGATCATTGGATAGACAAAGGGGAATAGAGGGAAGGGAGGTGCGATGAGAAAAGAAAACAAAATAGATTAAATTAGACAAATCTTTTCTTTCTTATTTTCATTTATTCATATAAATGAATAAATTAAAAAAGAAAGTGTAACTCTACATTATTTTCAACAATAAAAATAGAATCAAAATTTTAATGTGTTTCACCTCGTGTGTGTGTGTGTGTGTGTGTGTGTGTATCAAGATATATGCTGTCATAGAGATCTAAAAACAACAAATAAAAAAGAAAATAAGCACATGATATTACTCATCTATTATTAGAATGAGCATATTCAAATAACAATGAAATGAGTTACACCTTTATGGAATGTTTTAATATTCCACAAACACATTTTTTTGGAAATAAACATATACTGAAACTGTATATTCACTGTGAATCTGAACTGAATGTGAAGTTGAAATCAAAATGAATGATGACTTATGCTCATCTAGAATAAGCTCACACATTCACTAATTTCAATCTGTGGATTACTGCATAGACACTTGCATACACTGGTTATTCATAGGAAGAATAAACCACTTACATGAGGATATTAGCCTACAATTATACTTCTTTTCTTCATTAATTTAAACTCAATTTTAGGATCTAAGATTAAAGAGATGGAGGATTTTAAATGCACACTGTTCTTTCAACCAGACTTGATATTATGACAAAAGTAAAATAAACCAATTTTATTGTTATGTTCTAACGTTTTGAAATATTGAAATTTGAAATTAAGTTTGGATAATATCTCACATGGTTCAAGAAAACTTATTTTTAAAGCATCATTCTTACTACTTCCACTTGGAGCAGAACATCTGAATTCTATTATTCACATAGATAGTTTACATGAGTCTACAATTAAGTAGTTTTTTAAAAAGCAAATAAAGAGACAAAGTAAAACAAGCACTTAAATATCAATCTGCAGAGACATCACAGATATTTACATGTTCAACTCAATGATACTGTTTTAAAGAAAATGTATTTACAAAATTCAGGTCTAATTTGCAGGGACAATTTGTAGGCCCTGATGGGTAGATACTGATCTATGTATTATGATCAATATGTAAATTTATTTCATATACATATACAATTATGTAAGAAAAATAAAAGGAGACACAGAAACAAGATGCAGAGGCAGGAAAATGGCTGCTCATCCAAGTTAACACATTTATTTATACAAATAAATTACATTAGGCCAATAGTACCATAAGTACATTATACTGTTTATGGTATCAGCAAGATTGTTTATTCTGCAGTTACTTTCTATATTTACAATATGCAATGTTAGGAGCTCTGTGCAGCTCACAAGTAAGTCCATTGTCTGAAGTTACTGTTAGGTGAGGAGATACAGGAGCACTGGGGCTTGGTGAAACATTGTGTTTATCTAGCAAGTAACTTCCTTTATTCCCAGGAGCTATGTATCTGAGATCAAGGTCTAGGCTGATAAGAATCTAGCACAGAGCCTCCTTATACAAGGCATTGCCACAATAACTAGACATTGCACCTGTATTAGTTACCATACTAGTTCCTAAGAGAAACTACAGGGCATTCTAAGGGTAGGGAACACAGTACCTGTTGTTCCTCAGGAGTTTTCTCACCAGAGGAACACTTCCTGTATATTTCCATGGTCAGAATCCATACCTAATTTTGCATAATTCATAACTGAAATAAAATGTTGTTATATATTAAAATATATGGATATTATGGGTTATCCTCTTGATGGATTTCAACTTCTCTACCATCTCTTTACTAATGATAATTTACAATTTTATTATTTTTACATTTAATATAATTTTTATAATTTTTTTGGATTTGTTTTTACAGTTTCTGTGAGTATTGTGAAATGGAAAGAGAATGTGTTGTGACACTAATGTAAACTAGAATCTGATGTTTTATTTTATAAACAGGTTCTTAACTACCACAGTAAACTAACATAAACCTAGAACCTCTACAGATGAGGGCTTTGTCCCAATGGCTCACTTGGTTGTGTCACTGTCATAAATACTAATTTCTTATACAAGACAGTAATAATTGGCCTTGTCCTCAATCTGCAGCCTAGAGTTTTACAAATACACTTATTGGTTGAGACATCTTTGTATCTAGAAAGTCAAATGAGGTTCTCAGGACCCATCTTTTCTCTGATTCAGAATATTAGTTCTCAGATACAAGTCCTGCCATTACCAGTACATGTTTTCTCTACCACTTGTTAAGAGTGAAGGGGAGTCTTGGTGTTGATCCAGGGATGAAGAGAAGGGAAGTAACCATGTAGGCTTAGACAAAGAGAGGGAATCTGCAAGTATAGAACCATCACAGTGAAGGGCAGGGGCAGAGGTAAGTGACTTGGCTATCCAAGGCAGAGGGTAATGACTCAGATTAGTGGTCTACCCTAATTTTCTGAGGCCTGTACCTACCTATGCATTGAGAGAAGAGTAGAAGTAGGAAAGGACTCCAGGCCATGGTGGACACAGTCACTTATTAGGCCTCAATGGATAAATCCACTGCCCCCCTCCCTTAACCAGTTCTATTGGCCTCCCAGAGTTGAGGCTGCTCATGAAATGTGTCTCTACCACATATCTCTACCCCATGTGTAGCCCAGTGTCTGAGTCCTTTACCAAGGGAGAGTGGCATGATGCACCAGCTTACTTAATAACTGGGTTTTAAGAGGAAACTACTTCTAGGACCACACCAATGCCCAAGTGCATGGGACTTTGCCCATGTGAACATCTGTGTAGATTCCCAAGGTGACCTCTGCATTGACCAGAACATGTTTAACCAGAACTGTGTTCATCATTATATCTCATATTAGAGCATCTCCTCTGGGGAAAAAGTAAGACAAAATTGTTGCAAAGATATTGGGCAGAGGGTATTTGTTGGTGTATGATAAAAGATGAGAACAGAGGAAATAGAAAAGAGGTGAAATTCCAAGTGCCTCTTAGGTATGAAACCTGGAAATAAATCTCAAATAGGAGAGGAGCAGGTAGTCCAGAGAACAAGATGAGGGAAAGGCAACATCTGTGTTCAGATTCACACAGTGAGGCCAGGTGGAAGAGCAGGTCAGAGGACAATTTGTTGTACACTTGTCACATGGTGATCATGGTATGAAAAGGTGGAAATTATTTAGTAATTTCAGGGACAATCCTGCTGCAGGGAATCACTTCCCTCCAATAGGATTAATGCTGAAGTTAAATTAACCTCTAGTTAGGGAATTAGATGATTCACTCAATTCTCTTTTTATTCATCTATTTTTTAAGAATGAATGAGATGCTTCATATACATCAGAAAATAGAGATAATAAATGAATTTAAGGAGTGGTCCCAGGCCATGGGAGCAGCAGAAGCCAGGCACGAGAGGGGTGGAATTGCCCAAAAGGATACTTCAGCTTGAGAAATTCCTTCTCATACAGGTTAGGGAAGAGAGATATCTCAGTAGTTGCAGGGTCGGAAAGTAGTAAGGTCTCCAAAGCCCTGAAAGACCTCATGTTGGGACCAGATATGGGAGTAAGAAGAGGGGAATAAGCACAGCCCTTATTCTGAGGGTGAATGCATAACCAAAGGTGGTTGTAGCAGCCCAGGAAGTACCCATCACATTTCTTATAGGGGATCCTACAGTGGACCCAGATTTGATGTCAGGCCTCTGCCCTTGGCTGGCTCCAGGCAATGATGACTTCTGGAGTAACTAGTGCAGGGTTCTTCTGTGGGAACTAGTAGCCTTCTGATGAGCATCCAGGTTCCAGGAGCCACTCAACCTGCAGATTCTCTCAGCCCTGCCTGTGGTCAGAAGGTCTTCCTACCCAATCATTCCTCCCCCTGCTCCTATCACAAGTGTCAGAACTGTGGTCTGAAGGTAAGAGTCCTCCAATAGGTATTTTTCAGTTTTTCTTCTCCATCCAATCCATGTTTTTTATTTTTATTTTTGTAGTTGTAGATGGACAGAATGATTTTATTTTATTTGTTTATTTTCATAAATAAACAAGGCAGAGGGTAATGACTCAGGTTAGGGGTCTACCCTAGACTTTTCATGTGGTGTTGGGGATCAAACCCAGTGCCTCAGTCATGCTAGGCAAGTGCACTGCCACTGAGCTATAGCCCCAATCCATTATCTTATCTAACATTTGCATCTGCTTTTCACAGCCTTCAAACTAGAAAAAAAATTGGCTCAGAGAGAAAAATAACTTAAGGGAAAAAACAGGAAAACTTATCTTGTTTTCTTGATTGATATAAATTTGTAAAAATTTACTATAATAAAAATAATAATTTAAATATAGCATCAATATGTATGTGAATATATTTAAATATAGGTAGGTAAATTTACTTACCACAACTGCCATATAATCATGCATGCGTAAGAACACGCAGATAATGAGAAAAAGAAAATGAAAAAAAAAGCAATTTGTTTTATATATAACAGGTATTACTATATTTCTTTGTAGATACTTCCTTCTATATGAGTTAATTTAGATCAAAGAAATATATCTAAATACCAGTATTATATAGATCACATCTCAAGTAGGCATTGAAATAAAATAGAGTATCTTATGATTTTCTATTATCCCTTCATGTTTACCCAGCAACTGGAGGCACTAAAGGAATCATTTCCAGCTGTTCTATTTTTGCAATCATAAGTTCTCACCACGAATAAGAATACACTGGGCATACTTACTCTCCCTCTGTCCTGTTTGTTCTAGAATGCATTGTTCACACCAGGGAACTTTAGAGCTACATGAGGATGTCACAGTTTCCTCTGATATACTCTCTACAATGAGGAAAACCCTTCAGGTTTGCCAGGAGTTTCTCTGTTTCAAAAATATTTTTCAGAATAGCAAATATACTGGAGGTATTGGTTTGTGCTTTTGCAATATGACAGGCTTATTTTCCATTCATATTCATAAGGACTTTTTGTAGTTATATCATTCATTTCAATCACAAAATCTAAATCTAGATTTCAAAAGGTTAGTAAAACAACCTAACATTGCAAATATAGTGTATATCAAGAAATTTCTTACCCAAGTATTCTTTCCTTCTTATTGTGTACTACTTCAACATAACAGTTTACAATACTTTCTTCTCTTGATAAAGCAAAAAACTAACTCAAACTGAATTTTCACACATTTCTTCTTCACCTGTTCAGCCAGTGTTGAATGCAATAGGACCTGTTCCTGTTCAGGTAAAACCTCTAGTCCTGAACATGTGTGGCCTTCATCAGGAGAGCCAGCTCAGTGCATGGTAGAACAATGTTTGGAAGTCAGAATTCTATGGGAGTTTTTAGTAATGCCAATACTAGATAATTATATGAAACACTGAAGTATGCAGTTATTTATATGAACCCTAGAAAGCATGTATAAAAGGAAGTTTTGCAGAAATCCCTCTCATTTTTTGTCTGCTGTTTTCAATTAGATACTTATTGTTTGCAATGACTTGATATTCTCAAATCAGTTTCTGAATGAGTTAGGGATTTTTAATTGAAATATGGGAATAATTTAGACATTGATGATGGGTGTGATTGCATACTAATCACAAATACACACAAACAAGTTTATTATGTAATTATAAAACCAAAATTTTGTTATATTATAAACATAACAAAATAATAAAGGCAATTTTTCTTTTATTACTTGAAAGAAAATTGAGTACTAATTTAACCCATAATCAAATCAATGTATGAGAACTACTAATGATCATTTGTTAATATCTTAAATCATAAGCATCTTAAAGATAAGGGATAATTCTCTGAATCTTCCTGATGATTACCTCTTGGAGAAGAGTTCTCTGTTCCTTGTCCCAACCAAAGAGGGAGAGTGGAAGCCTAGTGTAGGAGAAGTCACTCTGAGAAATGAATACACATTGGGAGAGACAGAGTGAGGCACATGGTATGAACCACTTGTAGGACAGAAGTCAAGCAGCATCACCTTCACATGAAAGTGTTGAACATTTTCACCCTCTCACTCTCTCTCTACCCTGTGAAGTATGAGACATTCTGAACATGCACAGATGTTTTGGTTGCACCTCCCTGGAGATTTAGATTACTGTGTGAATACCCATATTGAGGGTGCATCAATAATCAGCCTCATCGTTTGTCTGAACCCCTGTGATGCTCACTGCAGCTTTGTTTACAAGAATGGAACAAGAGAATAGATTATGGAATCCAGAGGCAGGCATTTGTGCTCTAGATAAGTGTGTATGAAGCATGTCCTGGCAAATGCTGGTGCTAGCTTTGGTAGTGACCTGAAGAGCCTAACCCAGAGCGAAGGCCACAGGTAAGTACTTCTGTCCCACATGAAGACACAGAGAGTCAGGGCTCCTGAATCACAGTCATCTGAGAATCCACCACTAAAAGCAATCAGAGAGATAGTTATGAATAAAATGGTCCCTGACACACTGCTTTTTTGTAGGCACCCCAAGGTTGCAGTTCACCTCCCCTGACCTGAATCAGAAGAGAAGAAAAACAGTTAAAACATGATCCATGCCATGATGGAGATCTTCAAATAGACTTGGTGTCTTCACATGAGTCACTTTAATTTTGTGTCCTCAGGACATTTTAATGCTTCTTCAGACCCAGAGAAATGTTTTTTTTGTTGTTGTTGTTGTTGTTGTTTTGTTTTTTTTTTTACGAAAATCAACCTTCCTTTCTCTTCCTGCTCCAGAATTCAGCCTGATGTCCCCTGGAGGAGATTGTGAAAGAGGCAGATCCTGGGAATTCACATAGACCAGTGAGTACTGGGGGCCTGACACACATGAGTTTTAGTTGATGCTTTTCCCCAGATCAGCTTCCTTACACTACTTCAACTAAGGCATAAAGTTCATTTCTAAAAATTCAGAGATGGAATAAAAACAAGGGTGAATTCTCCATTTCTACCTAGTTCATCTACTTTATTGCAAACCCAGTACTTGCTGGTTAACATTTTTTTCTTGTCCATAAATGCATATTATTTCTCCTTGAGTTAACTGTCAGGCCCTTTTTCTTCACCATAGATCCAATTATGACACTCTGAAGCTAGGTTTGTAGGGAACTCTCTGGACAGTTCCAGAGGAAGGAGTCTCCTACTAACTGAATCCTAGAGACTCTCTCAAGCATCATCAGTGGATCCCAAGATTGAGAATTCAGATACAGACAGCAACAGCACAAGGCTTGAGATGCCACTTACCTTCACAGTTAGATGGCTTTAGGACTAGTGGAACTGCAGAATTTAAGAGAAAGCGGAATATTCTTGCCAATATCAAAAAATAAGAAAACCATGTTCATCATACTTGAAAATAAAATTAAGAATATTTATGATCAATTACTGTGAATATCTGTAACATTTTTAAAACACTTTCACTTTTTAAGATGATTAAAAATGTTAGATGAGGATAATTGGGGAGTTCAGAAATGAAACTCTTTTAATTTCTTTGTAAAATAATTTTTTAAAAAAAAATATGGTGTTCTTTATTTCAAACAAAAACACAATTTCTAAACTGTTCATAATT